AAATGAACGAAAAAACTGAAAAATGGAATGCAGGAGGAAAATTTTGGTCGAAGTAAGGTTGAGCGGAACCAGATTCACTACAAATTGTGAAACACGTGGACTGTGAGAGGATGTTTTGTGGAATTTGGTAGCTTGAGAAACGCCCTGCGAACCCTCCTTATCAGGTTATCGTTATGAGTTCTTGTTGGGAATATAAGCACTAGCACAGCACCAAACAGATAACCAGGATAGTTCGAAGCAATGGTTAGTTGCTTTTTATTTTCAAAAATGGTGACCCTATAGGCCGAAAATGAACCCAGTTTTCAGAAACTCCTCGTGCTTTTATTCTGCATCTACCTGCTGCAGGTAATCAACGCATCCGAGGGAGATGTGCTCGGTTGGTTTGTTCTCAACACTTATCTCTCAGCAGCCTCTCTCTTAATTCTCTATCACTTCTGAAGTACTGTATCCGTTTACAGATGCACTGCAAGCTCAACGAATCCCACCTGAGGCGCAGGCGTTGAGCGGTGAGCCGCTCGTTGAATATCTCAGGAAGAATCAAAAACTGTTCGAGGTACTGCACAGTCCACCCAAATTTCAGACCCTGAACTCTGGAACACTTCATGCTTTTGCAGGTTGAACCAAACCCTGCAACCCACTACTACAAGAAGATGCTGATGGATCTGGAATTCATCGATCCGAACCACAATACTGCTCCTGTGGACGAGGCAGACAACGGCGCTGACATTCCAGAAAGGTTGATGAGATTTCTTTTCGAACATCATTTCTTGTTTGAGTATCAGATCTTGGTGGGACGTGAAGAAAGCAGACTTTCTTCTTCCACCCTTATCCTAATCGAAGTCCTTTCATTGAAAAACCATTCATAAATATGCAATTCGGATTGCATCACCAACTTAAACGGGTGGCGATCAAATTAGTGTGTCATTTCGCTCGAGAATGAAACAAGAGGTGCGAACAGGACCGTGAGCGTGGAATAGTGGAAAAAGTGAGTGAGGAAGAAAGCGAAAAGATGATACAGGACTTTATTTGGCTAACGTTTCGGCTTGGTCGCCTTCGTCAGAGCCTGGAAAGTCAAGGATCAGTGCGACCTACCGCAGACATCATTTCCATAGAAGCGTCTAGGGGGCATAGTAAAACACAAACACAAGTCAACTACACTAGTTTTTTTTACGATGCCTCCTAGATGATTATGGTCTATGGGGACTGTTTGAAGTTAGAAGTGATGTCTGTAGGTCGCATTGATCCTTGACTTTCCAGGCTCTGACGAAGGCGACCAAGCCGAAACGTTAGCCAAATAAAGTCCTGTATCATCTTTTCGCTTTCTTCCTCACTTTTTTCACTATTCCACGCTCACGGTCCTGTTCGCACCTCTTGTTTCATTCTCGAGCGAAATGACACACTAATTTGATCGCCACCCATTTAAGTTGGTGATGCAATCCGAATTGCATATTTATGAATGGTTTTTCAATGAAAGGACTTCGACTGGGATAATGGTGGGAGAAGAAAGTCTGCTTTCTTCACTTCCCTCCAAGATCTGATACTCAAACAAGAAATGA